TTTATCATTGTGCAGGGTGTATAGGATCCTTGTCCCAATTTCCTGCAAGGATACCTGACAAGTGTGTACTTGTACAGGTTTTGGTTAAGGAACTTTTATGGAAATTGCATGGAAGCTTTAAAGGAACCTTTATGGATCTTGTGTACGGTTTTTAGAAGAAATGTGTAACTTTACTGAGAAAAATGAGTTTGCTGTTATATGCATAGCTAATTTTTAGCTAAGGCAGCTAATAATTAACTTTTGAAGCAAAAATTTAGCTGTAAGACGGACATAGGATGTCTTCTGAGTGTCTTCGAACGAACATAAACGTTCTACGAATGTCTTAAAGGCATCCTAATGACATCCCATATCCCAAGGGACATGTGTTTTTAACAAACAACAAAAATCATAATTTTTTTGTTATAAAATGATTGGTATTAACATCTTTTTGTCGACTTTTTAATGTCTTAAAGTGTCCCAAAACAAACAATCATCTCGTAGTAGTTTTTTGATGAATATATTCATTTTGGCATCTAAAATTTTTCTCGTTGCTTTTGACCGAGCTTCATGTCTCTAATCAAAAATCATCGCTACTGATACATTATCTAGCAGTGAAAATTAAGTATTTAGAGAAATACTAGCATCCAAGACAGAAGAATACTTTGGAGGTATAAGTATTGATTACGCTTAATTCATTTAAACGGAAGTTTGAATCCGTCTTTAATGAAGCCAATATTTATAGTTTCTGATTTTAAACTACATTGAAACGTCAACCGGAAGTAAACACTCAAAAGATCTCTAAGCTTTGCTGAGGATTTCATTATTTAAAAGTACACTTGTAAGATTCTATTTGCAAGTTTTAACCAGCGAGAATAGTTTAGATTACTAGGATTGCGACTAATAAGATCAGGTTGACAAGTATCAGACACAACTATTCAAGAGATTTCCAGCAAATACTGCTGATAAGTGCTTAAAGTGAAGTCGGTGGAAAGGGAATTAAAGAGGAAAGCGGTTAAAAAACAAGTATTAGTATTGACTTCATTAAAGATGGATTCAGACTTCCGTTTGAATGCATTGAGCGTAATCAATACTTTTACCTCCAAGGTATTCTCGTGTCTTTGATACGAGTATTTCTTTAATCTCCTATTTTGTACTGCGGGAAAATGTATTAGTAGCAATGATTTGTGAAGAGAGACATGAAGTTTGGTCAAAAGCAACGAGAAAAATTTTAGATGCTAGAGTTATGTGCTACAAACGAAATGTTCCAAAACGAATTTTACCAAAATTAATATATTCATAAAAAAACTACTACGGTATAATTGTTTGTTCTTGGATACTTTAAGACATTAAAAAGTCGGCAAAAAGCTGTTAATAGCAATAATTTTACAATAAAAGAAAATTTGTGATTTTTGTGTTTTGTCAAAAAATAAATTTTTTTGGTTTTCTCCTATTGACACAAGGGTTAGATTTTCTCAAGTGGACCTTAAATTTTCGAAAGTTTAAATTTATCAGTGTAAATGTGCAAAAAGATAGTTCTATTAGAGCTACGAATAACTTGTAAATTTCATTAAAAAATATTCAATTGTTTTTTTTTATAAACAATTGAAATTCTATGCAGTACATTTTTAAAAAATGCATAACTTTGACAAAAATTGTCGAAACTTGATGATTCTTTTTGCAAATTAACTATGAAATTCCAAACTTTATAAAAATAATTTTTACTGCATTGAAACTCTTAATTTGTTATAAAAAATAATTATTTATTATAAACAAATTAAAAATAAAACATGTTCTGGATAACCATATTCAATTTTATAAATAAGAACTTGAAGAGAATTTATTAAGGATTGCATATCAAAAAGATAAAATTGTTTTAAGTAATTATTTTATTAATTATGAATTTTTTGCAAGCTCCGTCTGACAAATGTCGAGTGTCCCGCTGTGCACGCTTTAACTTGTTTAATTTTGAAGGTTTTCTTTCATAATTTTTTCAATTTTTGTTTGTTTGTTTTGAACTTACATTAAACTGGAATACTTGTTTATAACAATATTAGGTAGTAATATATTATTTTATTTATGTATTCTATTTTAAGTTTATTATTTAATTGTTTTCTGTTGAATATTTCTAGCTTACAGAAAAACAAGTTTTAACTAATTTTTTTTGTATTATATAATTTTAAAATATTTTTAATTTCCTTGTAAACTTCCGTACCCATTTAAATCAAAAAGTAGTAATACAATATATTTTACTACTAAACAGACTAAAACTTTTTATGACTGTTTTAATGCAATTTGCTCGGTAAACATAATGTGGTAAAATTTTGTTTAAATTACGTGAAGGTAAAAAAAATTTTACCCAAACTAAAAGGATTTTTATAAAATTTATTTTATAAAAAAATTATATTGTAATTTATATTGTAAAATAAATTTTTTAAAAATCTTTTCAGTTTGAGCGGATTTTGCAAAATTTAATTTATAAATAAATAATGTGCAATGTCGTGGTATAAACATGTAATCACAAAATATGGGGAAAGGTTTTTTCTCAAAAACACCCCTTTTTTAATTATGTTTAAATTTTATATATTTATGTTTGTTAACAATTTATATTTATTTATTTATACACCTGTCTTCAACCTTACATTACATTTATAATATTCAGTAGAAATTATTTTTCATTTTACAAAATTGAAAAAGTAATCTTTATTCAAGGTAAAGTAGTTATAAACATCCTATTAAGTTTTCGAGTATAAAGTCCCTTTCTTTGGGTCATGTCATATTTTATTTTTCACTGACATAAAATAGATTTTTTTTCATACCTACACAAAAAGTATGTCATTTTGGGCACTTAAGGCGGGCGAAAAGTAACTGATGCTCGCACGGGGTCAGGCAAGCGGGCACAAAAATTCTTTCATGCCCAATGACGTCACACAAGCAGGCGTAAAAGTATTTTTACGCCCGCTTACATTATACAAGCGAACGCAATAGTACATTATGCAACAAGGGAGGTATGTTCGCACTGAAAAAAAAGTTCTGGTTAGGGTATATTTAACACGATATTCTAGTTCAAACAACCAGAATTCTGGTTAAATTAACTAGAATTCTGGTTAACCTAACCAGAAAAAATCTAGTTAGGGCATATTTAACACGAAATTCTAGTTAAAAACAGGTTTTCTGGTAATTCCAACCAGAACTTTTTTTTTTATTGTTTATACTCCTGCCCTATTGGCCTTACGCACTTCGACAAGAGTCCCCGAGAAATACTTTTTTTGGATTAAGCATAACCATTCTACTTTAGAAATTTTCTATATACTAACCTAATCTTGCGTCTACAGCCGACTTTATTAGGAGTACTCGCATTACGCCTGGACCACCCGTCAATGGGTTTTCTCGCCAGAGAAGAGGGAAACTGTAGAAAACCTCTCTGAGTACAACCGGTTTATCGACAATCGAGTTCTAATGGTGTGTACCGGACAATAATCGACGGTGCACATCATTATACCTCGACGTCAAACCTCCCGCTCAGATTGTCTCACGTGCCGGAAAAATACCAAGCCAAGTGGGCGCGAACCAAGGGTACTTGTACCCTTGGTCCTTAAACGACCACCAACGCCAGCATTTTCTATCCGACTGAGTCAATCTGTCGGTCCAACCAGAACTTTTTTTTCAGTGCGAGTTTTTCAATATTGTGCGACGTCATAAACGAGGTTACCTCCCTTGTTGCATAGTTTGTTTTATACAACAAAGGCGTATTATGGTTACTCTATGCTACCTGTACCGGTGCATGTTAAGTTCTCACATATAACCCAGCTGGTCAATAAAGTAACCATTATTGCCCTAGGGAGATAAAGGGTACTTTATTGACCTGTGAGCGGTCAATAACACTGGGTTACAAAAAAATGGTCATGTCGTGTTTATTTAAAATTTACTGTGTTTATTGAAAATTTAGGTGTCACAGAATAAGAATATACCAGAAAAACTTTTTTTCATTCGGTCATTCCCTTAAAAAACGAGTTTAAAGTCTCAAAAAACCGTATTTTTAGCACTTTTTGAGGCAGCGTAACAAGAAAATGCAACATGATAAAAATCTCTACAAAAGCTTAAATAAAAGCTTAAACCTTCAATTTTTTAAAATTATCAACGCAAATTTTGAAAAATTGAGTGAATTCATTATTTTCAGTCCGCCATTTTGAAATTTTTAAATCTAAGTTCCAATTCGTCATTAGAAACCTCAAAAAACTTCAAGTAACAAGTTGCAACCGAATCCGCTTAAGGAAATCGATTTTTACCAATTGCTTCCTGTTGTAGCTTTTTTTGACAATTTCAGGTAGCGACTGCTTGATTAAGGAGGTTTTCATTGATTATTTAAGTACTTTTCAGTTCTGAGCCTCAAAGTTGAAGGTTTAAGCTTTTATTTAAGCTCTTGTAGAGATTTTTATCATGTTGCGTTTTCTTGTTACGCTGCCTCAAAAAGTGCTAAAAATACGGTTTTTGACACTTTAAACTCGTTTTTTTAAGGGTTGACCGAATGAAAAAATGTTTTACTGGTATATTCTTATTCAGTGACACCTAAACTTTCAATAAACACAGGAAACTTTGAATAAACACGATATGACCATTTTTTTGTAACCCAGTGTAATGTACCATTTATCTTCCTAGGGCTATAATGATTACTTTATTGAATGCTGGGTTATAAGGGGAAACTTAGTGCGCGCCTGTACAGGTAGATAAAGTGACCATAATACGCCTGAGTTGTATAAAAGTTTTTTTACGCCCGCATTTGCTCGTGCCCTTAATGCCATACTTTTCATGCAGTTCGGACAAAAAATTATGTACGCAACATGGGCGCAAAGGTGATTACGACTCAGACGAGTTTAAGGGACCGAGGGGACACTTCCGCTTCCTTGGCTTCGCCTCGGTCCCTTAATCTCTTCATCGTTCCAATCACCTATTTTGCGCCCTTGATAAAATAACTGTTTGAATAAAATTTGTGAATAAATTTAAAATTTTTTTCGAAAACTCACCTGCCAGCCTTGAAGAAGTAAACTTCTGTCAACAGTTCTGAGCCACATGACAGCATCTCCAGCTTGGAAATCTCGAAGTCTGGTGCACTTATTGTGCAGGAAAAGTCCGAGGCACTTAAGCAATTCCGACGTCGAGGCTTGGATCACAGTTTTTCTAGGTCCAGGTGTTAAGGACTTTTGCGCCAATTTCTTACATGTGGGATTGTGCGTCGTGTGATTGTTGTTTGAAGCTGGCGCCTTCGTCTGGGATGAATAAAAGGTTGAGTTCAAGGGCGGACCAATTATTGATACCTGCACCCACAGGGGTAAACAAAAGAAAGAGTAAACATAAAATAATTTGCCAATTGTAAATCATATTGTCAACTTTTGATTTTTAGGATAAAAATTATAAAGTAATTAAAGGTTACTTTATTAAAAGCTTGAACATTTTAATTATTTTAAACTTACCAATATATTCGTATAGTAAATTCAAATGTAAAAATAATTTATACAGTTTTTATTAGGAATTCTGTTCAGAATTAGAGCGGATTTCACATTGAATATCTGTCAGAAGATGAAATAAATAAATATTTTGACCCTGTGCAAGAAATTAATTACATGTGGATTTCTAATCGATCCACTGAAAAATCTATATAAGTGACACGGTATTGCGTTGTCCTAGCCGGTACGCCACCCAAGCAGCACGTAAGCTTATCTTGACATCACTGTAATATTACATTGGAGATTCGTCATATTACACTGTAATATTACAGTGATCTTACTGGGATATCAAAATGTCCGCCTGGAGGTAATATTACGTTGTTATATTAAGAGAATATTACCTGGTAATATTAAAGTAATATTACACTGTAATATTAACGTAATGTTAAGGTAATATTACACTGTAATATTAACGTAATGTTAAGGTAATATTACACTGTAATATTAACGTAATGTTAAGGTAATATTACACTGTAATATTAACGTAATGTTAAGGTAATATTCAGATAAAATTAGAATAATTTTATAATTTAGAAAAAAACATTTCACAAAGCTGGACTCGAACCCTGAACCATGTGCATAGTAATCATGAGTCTTACCACTGAGCCAAACTTACTTGTAGTGTATTAAGATTCTTGACGGTATATAATCTTTGTAAGTTTTTTAAAGTTCTTCATATTTCATCAAAAATCTTAATACACTATAAGTAAGTTTGGCTCAGTGGTAAGACTCTTGATTACTGTGGACAAGGTTCAGGGTTCAAGTCCAGCTTTGTGAAATGTTTTTCTCTAAAATTATAAAATTATTCTAATTTTATCTGAATATTACCTTAACATTACGATAATATTACTTGGTAATATTACCTTAATATTACCAAGTAATATTACCTTAATATTCCTATGTAATATTACCATGTCATATTCTCTTAATATAACAACGTAATATTACCTCCAGGCGGACATTTTGATATCTCAGTAAGATCACTGTAATATTACAGTGTAATATGACGAATCTCCAATGAAATATTACAGTGATGTCAAGATAAGCTTACGTGGTGCTTGGGCAGTGTTGGCAGTGTGTTGTGTAGACCACACAGAAAAAATATATAGGTTCAAAATGATTTCCGTACAATAGTGCGTGCAATACTTATTACAATATGCATCAAAATCGATCTCGCTTGCACTCATTTTGAATGAATAACAACTAATTACACAGGACCACAAAAAAAATTCGTTGAAAGGTTCCTTTGACCAAACCTAGTGAATTATGTTTTTGGGGTCGCTGAAAACGAATCTGTAGTCCGTTTTGCTCCATCACGTCAGGATTTTTCTTAACCTCAAAATACATATCAGATTTTACGTGATAAATAAAATTATATATATTGTCGGATTTACCTCAATCTTGGTATCAAGGGTTTATTAGGGTTGCTGATTACGAATTTAAAGACAGACTTTCAAAATACAAAATAGCGGATCCAATATAGCGGTCGGGTTTTAAAAAAATTATTGAATTTTTACGAAACTAGGTATCGAGGGGTTTTTGAGGTCGCTGATTACGAACTTAAAGTCAGATTTTTGAAATAAAAATGAAGGATCTAATATGGCGGTCGGATTTATAAAAATTTCTTGAATCTTTACAGAACTTGGTATCTAGGTGTTTTTGAGGTCACTGACCAGGAATTCTTTTGTGGGCCTGTGTCCAGGGCAACTACACGTTATAACGGCGGGCAACAGAGTTATTTCGGGAACTGTCAGAGTCCAAAAACTCACAGATACTAAGTTCTGTAAAAATTTAAGAAATTTTCATAAATCCGACCGCCATATTAAATCCTTTATTTTTATTTCGAAAATATGACTTTAAATTCGTAATTAGCGACCCCAAAAACCCCTTGATACCAAGTTTTGTAAAACTTCATGAATTTTTTAAAAAACCGATTATCATATCCCCAGTAGCACGTAATGTTGGGAACATTCCAGCAACATTGAGGCAATATTGGTAATGTTAAGGCAGTGTTCTCAATATTGCTGTAATATTACGTGCTACTGGGGATTTGATCTGCCATTTTATATTTTGATAATCTGCTTCTAAGTTCGTAATCAGCAACCCCATTAAAGCCTTAATACCAAGATTGAGGTAAATCCGTCAATATTTATAGAATTTTATTTGTCTCGTAAAATCTGTAGTAAAATGTATTTTGAGGTTAGGAAAAATTCTGACGTGATGGAGCAAAACGAATTTCAGATTCGTTTTCAGCGCCCCCAAAAACATATAATACACCAGGTTTGGTCGAAGGAAACTTTCAACGAATTTTAAAAAATTTTTTCAATTATTTTTTTGGTAAACCTTTTTAATTATAATAACTTTATTAATTACACAAGTCCACAAAAAAAAAATCGTTGAAAGGTTCCTTCGACCAAACCTGGTGTATTATATGATTTTGGGGTCGCTGAAAACGAATCTGAAATTCGTTTTGCTCCATCACGTCAGGATTTTTCCTAACTTCAAAATACATATCAGATTTTACATGACAAATAAAATTTTATAAATATTGACAGATTTACCTCAATTTTTATTTATTGGGGTTGCTGATTACGAACTTAGAGGCAGATTTTCAAAATACAAAATGACTGATCCAATTTGGCGGTCGGATTTATAAAAATTTCTTTAATTTTTACAGAACTTAGTATCATGAGTTTTTGGACTCTAAAGTTGAGTCTCCAATGTGAGAGAAGGTACGCATCGATGTTCATGGCTATAGATATACCACATCGTACTTTAGTATACCTATAGCTATGAACATCGATGCGCACCTTCTCTCATTGTAGACTCTGCTTGACAGATCACGTAATAACTCCGTTGCCCGCCGTCACGACGTGAAGTTGCCGTGGATACAGGCCCACAAAAGAATTCCTGGTCAGTGATCTTAAAAACACCTAGATACCAAGTTCTGTAAAGTTTCAAGAAATTTTTATAAATCCGACCGCCATATTGGATCCGTCATTTTGTATTTTGAAAGTCTGCCTTTAAATTCGTAATCAGCAACCCCAATTAACCCTCGATACCAACATTGAGGTAAATCCCAGTAAACGAAAACTAATTGAAATGAATTAAAAAGAATTCACAAAGAGCTTTCGTGAATCCCGCTTTGTGACAAATACGAATTGGAGCCATGATGCAATTTTCCTGAATTCGTGAAACTGTATTGAACTTCCGAACCTTCTATCCGTACCAATTCACTGGACAAGTTTTGAGCCTTTAATTTTTTTCAATTCGTTAGCACGAATTCAATGCATTCCTTGGCCATTTCTTTCGAATGCGAATTCGTTTGGACAAATTGGTACATATTGAATTAAATTCAATTGAATATACAAAGAGCTTGAGTGAATCCCGCTTTGTGACAAATACGAATTGGAGCCTACCAAAAATGTTAATTCGTTTCAATTCATTTGAATTAGTTTTTTTTTACTGGGATCCGTCAATATTTATAGAATTTTATGTCACGTAAAATTTGATACGTATTTTGAGGTAAGGAAAAATCCTGACGTGATGGAGCAAAACGGACTTCAGACCCGTTTTCAGCAACCTCAAAAACATATAATACACCAGGTTTGGTTGAAGGAACTTGTGTAATTAATACAGTTGTTATAATTAAAAAGGTTTACCAAAAAAATAATTGAAAAAAAATTTTTTTAATGATAAAAAAGTGTTTCATTTTTTTGTTTTCTAATATATTACAACTTCTAATTAAATTAATTTTTTAATGAAAACAGTAGTTTCTAAAATCTATTCCAAGAGAAACGTTATAGATAATATTTTACATGTACTAATGATTACGTTTTATTTTTTTTCTCCGAATCCCTTTGAGATCTCAAGATGAAACTTACAGGACATGTTAAGCACATTTGCACTAACATTAAGTAAAATATTTTAAAAAATCGAAGATGATGTTTTTTCAAAAACGGATTTTTAATTTTTTTAAATTTCAAAAAAAAAAATTTTTGAATTTTTTTTATTAATTTTTTGATAATACATGAATATTAAACTATTCTAAATGTTTTAATCTCGGTTTTAATTCAAAATATTTATTTTTACAAAAAATAAATAAACACAAAATAAGTTTTTAATCCTATTACATCTCAAAGAACATCTATATCACAATTTAATTGCACCACCCTTATAGAAGGAATCAATTGATCACGATTTGTAACTATTCACGGTTAACAGTTTGCTTATTGTTTTTAATCATCGCTAATTAAATTAAAATTTTTATGAGAAAATTTAATAGTTTGCAAGCAAATCTTTAATAAATTTTTAAGAAAATTTCGGTGCTGTGTGAAAATTAATTTTCATTGAATTATGTTAAGAGACATTTTATTCAATTCAACTAATGTTTATTAAATCACAAAAAAATAACTTTGATATTAGTCAAATAATCTTTCATTTTTTAAAATCATTTTGTTCTCATTCCGGTTATAATTTAATATTGGTTTTTAAAATTCCTGATAAGAAATCCTTCTACACTGAAAGAAACTTTGTTACAATATTTAATATTTTAGGGTCACTTTTTAGTATATTTTGTTACAAGTTTAGGACAATTTTAAATAGTAAGGATTTTCGTTAGTACTTTTAAGAATGCTTAGTAGTAAAATAAAGAAATATAATATATTTGAAAAGACAATTTAGTATAATCTTCACAAAATTCAAAATGTTTGTATTAAAACTCGAAATGTCAAATTCTGATACGCCCTTTAAGAAGTATTATAACCAAATATTTCAAACTCCGTAGTTACCCTGGCGGGTTGGGCTACCGT